GGGTCTGGAGTACAATATGGGACGCATACCCATCGGTGGCTCAGACTTTTCCACCCGTGCCTATAGTTTAGATGATAGCACACCCGATGACGTGCCGCTCAGTAAATTCAATCTCACGTCAGAGGACATGGAGCTTAAGGTATGGATAATAATTAAACTTAGGATAAATAGTCCCTAAAAATATTTTAATTGTTGAATTTTTAAACAAATGCGAGACTAGAGTTCGTTAAATACCCAACAATTAAACCCCGATATTTAGGTTCGGGTTTTGAATAAAACGGTCTTTTCTTGTGTTAGATGATTTTGTATCATAATTTAATTTTGTATTTGTTATAAATAGTAAATCCATTATAAATGATAGCCTTTATTGTAGTGTTAGTTACAAAAATGTCAAATGTAATAAAAGAGCAAAAATAATAATAAGAATTTAGTGATTAATAAAAGTATAAAACTTGGAAATGAATCTCAAGAAGACTTTAGTATTGATTTGTCATTTCAAAATCATTTAATTTAATTGAGATATCTTTGAATTTAGGCATTTTATGCAATCAATTGGTTTAATACAAGATAAGACCGTTTTATTTGAAACCCAAACCTAAATATTGGGTTTTAATTGTTGGGTATTTAACGAACTCTAGTCTCGCATTTGTTTAAAAATTCAACAATTAAAATATTTTTAGGGACTATTTATCCTAAGTTTAATAATAATAATTATAAATATATATTTTAGCTTATTGTTATATTGTGAGTATTTTTTATCACAATTTTTTTAGATCCCAATTATCCTAAAAGCAAAAGCCATGGCCACCAGTGATCTGAAACTGTTTGGCTCACCATGGTCGGCGCCTGCTTGGATGAAAAACAACCACCAACTAATTGGCGGTGGTGATTTGGAAGCCAAGTATCTTGATTGTTACGCCAAGTACTTTGTTAAGTAAGTAAAATAATCTAAATATTATTAAACACTATGCTACTAATAATAAACAAAATATATAACTACCTTTATGTTTTTTAAAAGGTACCTTGATGCGTACAAAGCCCATGGTTTGAACCACTGGGGCATAACTGTGCAAAACGAACCCATGGCTGGCCAGGCGTGGAACTCAATGCACTTCTCGCCCGAGTCTATGGCCGAGTTTGTGGGCAAACATTTGGGCCCGGAGTTGGCCCGCAGTGGTTACGGTGTGGACAAATTGCAAGTAATGCAACTTGATCATAACGTGGGCATTGTCAAGGAGTGGGTGGACAAGTACTTTGCCGACCCCGTGGCCTCCAAGTACACACAGGGAACCGCCATTCACTGGTACGGACACGACCCGAAGGAACAGTTGGACGCACCCCATAACCAACACCCGGACAAATGGATGTTAGCCAC